GGGCAAGGGTCAGCTTTGTTCCTGCCGGAGGTGGTGAGGGACCCTGGGGGAGACAGGGGGGTAGTGTAGAACCCCTGTGTGTGTGTGTGTGTGTGTGTGTGTGTGTGTGTGTGTGTGTGTGAGAGAGAGAGAGAGAGAGAGAGAGAGAGAGAGGGAGAGAGAGAGAGAGAGAGAGAATTCCTGCGTGTCCATCAGGTCAGGGTGTATGTGGTTCTGTCATGTCCTTGGTTTCCTTTCAACTTGACTTTTGAACCTGAGTTATGTGTCTGAGTGTATATCAGTGCATGTTTGTTTATCTGTGGGTGCTCAGCCTGGGATCCACTGACAGGTCTGTAGGTGTCACCATGTGCCTGGTTCACAGGCCTGCTCAAAGCTGTGTCCTATGAGTGTGACCTGGTAGGGTTCTTTGTATCCAAGAGAGGTGTCCCTCTCCCACTTCTTCCCTTCCCATTCTTCCGACATTAGTCACCAGAGATTTCCTTCTGGAAAGTGAATCTGATTTTGTTAACTTCCCTGCTCAAAAAACTTTGCCTGCGTGCATGGCAGGTAAGACCCATGTCTACCTCACCATCTCCACATTTAGCCACTAACCCCCCTCAAAAACTTCACTCCAGTTACACCTACCTAATTGTAACTACCTGCACAGTCCCATTCAAGTCTGAAATGCCCTTCTCTTGTTTTCTTTATCAAGCAAACTTTTACACCTTTTGCACATTTCTGGTGAAGCAACACCTCCATTGAGAAGCCTTCCAGGCTTCCCCAGGTCCAACTGAGTTAGGACTCTTCCTTGTTTTTCCATTTTCTGCCTGTGTCTATTTCCTTCACCCTCATCACCATTACTGTGAGCTCTGAGAGCAGGAACTGTGCTGTGCCTCCCGCCCTATGGGACGGGAAGGTTTTGAAGGGACCTAGTCCCAGCCCAGAGGAAAGTTTCCTACAGTTTTAAACGTAGTGCTCAGGGCGACCGCTAGAGGGCGTACAGATACCTCTGCAGGACCATCCTGTGTGCGTGTTTGTGTGTGTGTGTGTGTGTGTGTGTGTGTGTGTGTGT